CACAGGACATTGTTTTAGTCTTCGAATAAAAGCTTCAAATTTCTGTTCTTGTTTTTGTATTATATTTTTTTTTTTGTTCTTCATTTTGCCTGCGTGTTTCAGCACTTTTCTGTTCTTCAAAAGTTTTTAATGATAACCTGGAATTTCTTTCTTCATTTTCTAATTCTAATAATGTTTGTGATGGTTCATGATTTTTCCTTTCAGGCTTGAACCTTTTAAATATTGAAAAATATTTATTTTTTGTTTTGACTATAGGTAACTCTTCTTCATCCGATGGTGTTGGTTCAACTCTTTCACATTCAGGGCAATTGAGACGATTATTATCAATTGGAAGGTTATGTAAGACACAAGATTTCTGTCCACAGTCTCTACATGTCATTATTGGAGCAGAATCTTTGGAGAAATAATTTTTTCAGTATTAATTCCACAGATAAATGTTCACATCTTGCTAAAAATTTTTAAATATATGTAATTTACCTCTTTTGCCATGTATTTGCCCAGAGTCACAATCTTGGTTTGTACACCAATGAAAATTTGGCATACGTGATAATGCATAAAGTAGGCAAAGTCGTTCATACCTACAATAACATAGAATGATTATAAAATTTTCTTACAAATGTGAAATATTCTATTCCTGTATTCATATATCATACCGAATAAATTTTTCTTCACCAGCAAATTTTTTAACGTCCTGTTTTTGTAATAAACTTCGACAATTCTCTTCAGGATATAAAATATTAAAATTGCCTTTATCCAAAACTTCAGCTTTAATATTTTTGAACATATTCGCAGCATATGTTGTTTTCGTGGTTGCATTGATCTGTAATATTTATAAAGTTATCTGGATCGACTTGTTCTATGCATATAGTGCATTCTTTTCTATCATCAGCAGGGCTTGAAGGCTTAAATTCATTGAAAAAAAATTCTTTATAAGTTTTCATCATGTATATATTGATATTCATTAGTACAAAAAGTTAAACCAGCGATATCACATTTCACTGCAAATTCAAGGTAAAGTGGAGCACTTGGGCTTTTAAAGATTGAAAGTTTGAAAATGTACAAGTCTTTTTCTGATGAAACACTACACGATTTTTTTGCAGCCATATTATAATATGTTTCCCAAAGATCAGTAGTGTAATCTATTGAAACATTTTGTCTCCCGTGAGTAACTTTATATATTAATATTTTCCCTTCAAGATTGATCATATTATCAATTTCATCCACAACTTTTATTGACTCTACAAATACTCCGTTATTCATTTCATTTCTTTGATAAGTACTAGAATTTTTGTATATATGAAATACTGATATTTAATAAAATGGGTGCATTATTTTATTAACTATACACTTACGAACTGGCAATTTAATGTAGCAATAATTTTATTGTCAATAAAATGTGTACATCATTTTGCGAATAAAAATATACTTACACACTTATAATTTAAAATGAAAAAACAATGAAGTTATATTTAATAAAGAATTCTACTAAAACTTAATAAATGTATACGTTAATTTTATGAATTAATTATACTGTATACTTTAATTTTATGAATTAATTATATACTTACACACTAGTAAAATGAAAAAAAACAGAGAATTAATATTTAATAGAGAATTCTATTGACAATAAAATGTGGCATTATTTTATAAGTTATACTGTACACTCACATACTGGTAATTTAAAGTGAAAGGAAAGAAAAATAATATTTAATAGAGAATTTTATTGACGATAAAATGTGTACGTTATTTTATAAATAAACTATATACTTACACGCTGATAATTTGAAGTAAAAGAACAACAAATAATATTTTATTGAAAATTCTATCGACCATAAAATGTGTGCATAAGTTTATAAATAATCTATATACTTACGTCCTATTAATATAAAATAAAAGAATAGAAAAGTAATATGTAGTAGATTTATATTGACAATAAATGTGTACATTATTTTATGAATAAGCTATGCACTTACGGGCTGATGATTTAAAGTGAAAAATCAGAGAAATAAAATTTAATAGAGAATTCTATTAACGATAATATATGAAAATAATTTCATAAATGAAATATATACTTACGAACAGTGTATATTTAATAGAGAAGTTATTAACGATAGATGTATAAATTATTTATGGACAAATAATACTTACTCCCTGGCAATTTAGAATGAAAGAAAAGAAAAGCAATATTTAATAATTACTTTTGTTGACGATAAAATGTGTATAAATAAACTATAATTACCGTCTAGAAGTTCAACGCATAAAGCAATAAACAGAAAGTAATATTTAATATAGAATTCTTTTGACAAAAAAATGTTTACAATATTTTATGAATAAACTATATACTTACGCACTGGTATTTAAAGAACAGTAATATTTAATAGAGAATTCTATTGACGATAATATATGTACAGTACATTATTTTATGAATAAACTGTATATACTTACTCTCTAGTAATTTAAAGTGAAAGACCAGAGAAGTAAAATTAAATAAATAATTCTATTGACGGTAAAATATGTACATTATTTGTACATAAATAATTTATACATCTATCGTTAATAACTTCTCTATTAAATATACAC